TCTTGGGGATGACAACTAAAGAAGAAGCCCACGGAGATGTGGAATGTTGAATGAGCCCTGCCGCCAAATTCTGGTCCAAAACGCCATCCACTTTCTTTTGCATCAACGGGTTGATACGATACGGGCGTGATGCAACGCGCTTCGTCCCTGCTGGGACAGAAAGCGTGAACGGCATTATGTTGCAGGAACCAAAATCGGTTTTCGAAGTAGAGAACACGTCAGAATATTCCACAAGGGCGTCGGCCAAACGATCAATAGCCTCCGGTGTCCATCCCGGATTGTGTAGATCGAAAGCGATGTCGTGCATATGTGCGGGCAGCCTAGCCCACAAGCGCATGAAGCTGGAGCGCTGTGCCTCAGAGAAGCGGTCAAGTAGTTCTTGTGGAGGCGGCTTCGGAGGAGGCGGGGCGGAGGCTGGGTCCGGAGAGCGGTGAGTCCCGGACTTGGGGCCAACGGCGTTGACCCGAGGTGGTGATGTAGATGTTGTGGGGCCGGTAGGAATCGAAGATGGTGCCGCCTTCAGGGTTTCCACCTGTACTCGTAGTAGCGGCGCGGCAGACACTCCAAATACGTCTCCCGGCTCGAGCTCGGCACAACCTGCAAGGGGAATACGCTGGAGACCATTTGAAAAGGACGCATTTGGGGAAGAAAGCGTACCCGCTTCGGGTTTGAGCGATACCAGATACTCTCCAATCAGCGCAGGCATGCCAGAAGAACGAACGAGGTTCACCTCAACGAGTGCAGGCTCCGGCCCCAAAGAAATTCCCGAGTTCCCTGCATATTGATGGTGAAACGAGGAGGCAGGAGCGTCGTCGTGTGTAGCGCAAACGCAAGCGCCAGCTGTAAAACGCGGAGAGAGCGTGAGCTCGCCCATAACCCGGCCGTCCGGTCCAGGGTGGGGGAGGGTGGTGAACACGCGAGAGTTGAAGCGCATCCAGCTATCACGACCCAGAAGCACGGCGTGCCCCATGGCGGCGTCTGGAACAACACAGGCCCAGACCGCCAAGGAAGCGGTAGCTCTATCTCCATGGAGAAAATTAACGGTGAGACGAATCGACCGGGTGGTCACAAGGGCGGGTCCATCACCAAACCCACTCCAACGACGAGAGGGCGAAACACGAACGCCGCCAGCTGTCAGGGCTCCGGCAGCTATCATGGCGGTGACCACGGAGTCGGAAACGAATGATGCAGGAGACCCAGGGTCCAGAAGCGCCGCTCGCGCGAGTTGAGAAGTGGCTGTAGGACCTCCATGCAGCAGGACCCGGGTGGTGTATGAGTCCGAGTCCAACAGGAGCGTGCCGCCGACCAGATCGGGTCCATGTTCGAGAAGAGGGAGCTGGTCTGCACAAGCGGAGGTCGATGCCACCAGATGAACGCCAGGAGCATGGTCCCCCGGAGCGTCCAAACGTAGACAAGCTGGGTCTTCGCCCGGGTCCTTCCGTAGCGAAGAACCTGTAGCAGTAGCAACCTCATGAATGCGTCGATGTCCATGGAGAGGAGGCTGCGAAATGGGGGGCGTGGGAGAATTGGAAGCGGGGAAATCTTCGCCAGAGAGGGGATGATCACGCAAAAGGCGTCGAACTTGCATCAAAGCTTTTCCCAACAAGTTCTTACCGTTAGCCGCCCACTTGGATGAATCGCTAGCATCTGGAAAGCATGCAGACATGCCGATACCCCAAACACGATCGAAGGGGCTGGCTTCTGCAAGGAGGCGTGTACCCGTCTCCATTAGATGATGTTTCATGTCATGGTTTTGAGCAAATTTGGCGTACGATCCCGNGCATCAAAGCTTTTCCCAACAAGTTCTTACCGTTAGCCGCCCACTTGGATGGATCGCTAGCATCTGGAAAGCATGCAGACATGCCGATACCCCAAACACGATCAAAGGGGCTGGCTTCTGCAAGGAG